ATGATTTTGACAATGAGATGTTGTCAAACGAATAATTTCGAACAATTGGAAACATATGTTTGCATGACTTTACCTTCTTAATTCTACCATGATTGTATATATACTACGTTCTATTGTTAAACACAGCGAAAAATGAATTAAATGTCTTGATTTTCTTTTAAAAATATGATCTAAACAGTTTTATCTTTCAAATCTATGGAAAAACTGGCGAATAGCTTCAAGGCGTGTCCCGCATTGTACATTTCTTCCAATTATTAATTTTGAAAATATTATGTTTTTATTTTTTAAAACAATAAATACATACACAAAATTGGCAGAAGTAGGGCACACTTAGAAAAAAAATTGTAATCAGCTAGTAGCTCTGCCCATGGTACAATAAAAAGGTAAGGTAGATCTAACTGCTGATTAAAATTTTTTTCTAAGTGTGCCTGACTTCTGCCAATTTTGTGTATGTATTTATTGTTTTGAAAAATGAAAAAAAAAATATTTTCAAAACCAATGAAGACACGTGAATTGCGGCTCGCACATTAAAGCTATTAACCAACAAAGCCATGATATTGAAAGATTGAACAGTTAGGATCATATTTTTGAGAGAAAAATCCAGACATTTTATTAATTTTTCGCGCTATTTAAATCATTTTAAAAATGAGGAAAAATATGAAAAAAAAATTAAAACAACTTGTTGTATATAATTTTGAATGAGTCTGACAGGAAGCGGGCATAGCCCCAGGGCTGTATTTTTGTAGTTTTACCTTTTTGTTGTACCATGGCCAACTCATGGTACAATGAATTCAAGGTAGGGCAGAACTACCATATGATTTAATTTTTTTTATTTTTCTGGCTTAATATGTCAACTTCATTTGCTTATGTGTGTGTCTTCTTTTCAATAATACAAAATTGTTAAGAAAATATTCAAATTCGGGTGTTTTCAAAATGCTTATTGTAACGAATGCATCGACAAAATCTACAGTTTTTGTCGCGAAATAAACCATAAGAGATATATAGAACATGATATTGAAAAGAAATTTTGACCATTCTTATAAGAACTACAAAATATAAATTTGACAATGTAGGGGTAATTGTAATCGTTTGAAAGCATGAGATTTACTTTGTATTTGTACCTTGGATATATGTAATAATTTTTGAAAAATTTTGAAATATAATTAAGTTACATATATAGTAGATAAGGGATTTCTTCGAAAAAATCAAAAAAAAAATTCTAATTTTATGCGAATAAAAGATAATCAAAATGTTGAACTTCTATGGGGAAGGGTACCACAAGGACTGTACCCATAGATTTCATATTTACATAAGATCCCAGGTTGAAAGAGATATTTATATACCAAGTTTGAAAAGGATCGCTGACTTTTCGCAAGATATAGATATATAAATGCTGACAACTGTGACCCTTTGTGGGGAGGTACCAGATGTCCATCATCTACGCACTAGATCTAGTGTTAATAGAAATATTTGAATGTGCAAAGTTTAGATGCTTATTTCGCATTTTATGAGAGCTACAATTATTCAATATTTTAACCCGTTGTGAGAAAGGTGCCGATATATCCCGTCCGTTACAGATATTTGCTGATAGATGTATTAAGATGTGCCGAGGAATGGGACACTTGTTCCCCATTGTGGGGGAGATATCAGAAGGAGTGGTCCAACATATTCCGTCTTCATACCAGATCTTGTGTTGGTAGAAATATTGGGAAGTGGGAAATTTGAAGACAATGGACTCTTATTTCAGATTTTATAAGGGTTATAACTATTCCACCTTCGGGCCTTTCGGGAGGTACTTGATTGAGTGGGCACACATTGTCCATTTTCGCGCCTGACCGAAGAACTGACAAAAATATTCGAATTTGCAAAACTTGCACAAAATTCTGTAATTCTTTCGCTTATTGTGGGATAAATTATTTTCTTTGAAAATCCTGACCTTCTGTGGGCGAGGAAAGCTCGATCTAATCTTGACAATAATATTACGATGTATCACGTTTGGATTAAATCGGATACTCCCTTCGAGAGGTATTGTGCACACCAGCCAGACAGACGGACGGACACCCCTAGATCGACTCCAAATGTACTAAAGCAGATTTGGTCCAAAGGGACCTAGGGTCTAAAACCTCTAAGGCCATATGGCTAAGGCTATTATCATACATAGGATCCTTCTTATATCTTTCCTTTATAGCCCACTTTTGTTATCCCCTAGGGTGTAAGCATGGCAGAAGAATACAGGTAGATGCATCAACGCTGGGGAGCATTGATATGTCAAAAAAATTTAAATATTTTTTCAAATATAAGAAGATTTTTATATGTTTTCTTATATGACGTCATTTGGAGGTTATTGTAATTCACGTTTTCAAACAATTTTTAGAAATTTAAATAATTTTTCATTCAACATTTTCAATTCCAAAATTGGTTTGACAGTTCATTGTCGCAGCAGCTGTGTCGATGCGTCTACCTATATTCTTCTACCATGGGTGTAAGTATGTACATTAGAAGCTTGAAGTCATGGGATTTCATAAAGGGATTACAGAGCTGCACTAAAATCCTGCCGCCGTTTCCATTAAAATTTGACATTAATATGCCTAGCCATGACTTCAAGCTTTTTATGTACTTGCACCCTTACTTTTGGAAAAGTGAATGATAAAGTTCACATTATCTCATTATTACATCTTTCCATTAAAATATATGCGTTTTTTACAGAGATATGGCAAGCTATTTGTAAAAGTAACTGGTAGTCACTGCATTTTGTATATTAACCTTGTCATTCCGTTTGTAACTCCTCGAAATACTTGATCAGCGTAAATTTCTAAGTCGATTTTGCGATGTCCGTCTGTCTGTTGTAATCGCGCTATCTTTCGAACGAATTGAGATAGAAGGCTAAAATTTTGCACAAATGTTTATTTTTCCAGTAGGCAGGTTAAGTTTGTAATTGGGCCATGTAGGTCCACGTTTTCATATAGCCCTCATTTACGGGACCTGCCGATATTCGGAATTTTGATGATTTAAGCGACATTATTCACGGAAATTGTTTCAAATTTGGTATTTGAAGTTCGTAATGGGAACAAAAGTCTGTGACAGGTCCAGGTCTTCGTATAGGCCCCATATATCAGTACCTCCCTATATTCGGTATTTTGACACGTTTAGGTACAATACCCACCGAAAGTTTTTGAAATGTCGTATTTGAACTTCTTAATGAATGCTACAGCCTGTGACAGAAAATTGTCTATGTTGATCCAGGTCTTCGCACAGCTGGTTTTTAACTTGTTTCACAGTGGCATCTTCATTTTAGTTTAAAAATAATAAACAAAATGAATTCGTTATTAATTTCCTGAAATAAAATTATAATTCATCTCTTCAATATAAAATAAACGATTTGTATTATCCATTTTTAAATAAATTTTGCTGTTATTGCCATACTACCAATATAAAATATGGCAACATGAATTCAGTAAACTTTACGTGAAAAGATAAAGGGAAGATGGTCTGACTTTTTGCTTATCGGACAGTTCATACTTAAATGAAACTTGTAACAACGAAAAACGATTTATGTGTTCGACAACATCACTATTGAAGACAATCGGATGTAATAAACGGCTATATAGTTATTATTTAATAGTATTTGTAATTAAAAAACATAATTTTTCTATCAGAATTATTCAAAGTAAGACCAACAAGTTGTTCTAATTTATTTGATATTTTTCGGCATTTTTAAAATTGATTAAAAGCGCAAAATATAAATGAAATGCTTAAAATGCTTTTCAAAAGATACGATCCAAATGGTTCAATATTAAAATTCGATGACTAAATTGGTTGCTATCTATAGCACACGCCCCGAAATGTCATAAATTTTGACAATTTTTTTTGTATTTCAAAACAATAGATACCAACAAAAAATGTTTGTTCCAAAAACCAGAATTCAGTATTTTTGTTCTTCGATATTATTATTGGCTGGTTATTTCAAGTTCTGGAACAGGGTGAAAATTGCCTGAAGTCGGACACTTGAAACTTATTATGAATTTTAATTAAAAAGTATTTGGCAATTAAAGAGGAGGTTCGTAGTTATAATCGAAATCAGTGGGATAATAATGCAATCAAGGCTGATAGGGTAAGTGTGCCTAAGTTTGGCATGTCCCAGTAGTCAGCACTTTTTATTTTTAAGCCCAAATAAATGAAACTATTATAACTAAATGTATATTGTTTACTTCAAATATATTGTCAGCTATCTTTGTGTACAATTTCGCTAAGAAAAGATGATTTATTCTAATAAAAATTAAATTTTTGTCTGTGAAAAATCCATATTCTTAAGAAAAGTACAATAAAGACGAATCAGTTTAACTAAACAAAAATATTATATTTTAATGAATTAATTTATTATTATTATTAATTATTTTTACAAAAAAATGGTATGCCGACTGTTGGAACATACCATACCGACAATTAGCAAGTGGTGCCGACTACTGGCAAAATAGCATTGTTTTAATAAAACTACAAATTATTTATTTTACTAATCAAACATTAAAAACATTTGTTGATACAAAAGGTTTCTTAAAACTAATTTTGTTTCTGTTTTGTCTAATATTTCTCTCTTTTAATGTAATATGTAACACCAGTTTAGCGAGAAAAGTGCTATGATGTTTTTCAAGAACTCTTCCTAAAAAGGTTACTAGAGAGTCTATTGGTTTTTATTCACGCAATTTCACTACCAAAGGACTACCCTAAGAGAACTCACTAAAGATGGTTATTCCTGGGCCAAGGTAACCAATTATTTAACCCAAACTTCTCTAGAAAACTTTTAGTTTAATCGTGAAACAAATTGTAATTAAATCCTGGCGTTGAAAATCCTCACAGTCGAATTCACTTAAACTCTAGGACATTAACAAAGACAACACAATTTCAATACGAAATACATAGAATTTTGTTTTAAGATTAAATTTCGATTTTTGGTTGACAATTACATCCTAATTGATGCCTTTTCTAACATATGAATTTTCTTTCTTTTTTTTTTTGCAGGAAACCGCTGTCACACCCTTTAGGTCCTTTTTTTATAAGAAAATTAAATTCTAAGGGCTACCTTGTGCTCCACCTTGAATGTGCGGCAACTAGTATTGCCTACACATAAATTTCCCCAATCTAACACACAGGTATTGCAATGACTATCAATTTGTGGGAAAGGCTGACACAACCGGCACTTCTATTCGTTTCTTGGTACAAAGGATGAGGCTTCTCGTTAAGTTGCTGCCACAACCATAGTTGATATATAAAAGAACAACACACAACGGTCTTTTCATCTAAAATTGGCTGCACAAACAATATTAATTTATTTCGAAACTTTGAAGATCAAGCCGGCACTCAATGGCGGTTACTGCACAACTACTAAAGCTCTTTTCTGCATACAGCCTTTTATAGGGCAGTGAATTTTCCACCATTTTCCTCAACTTTCCACGACATTTTGGGTAACATACACATCAACGAATCACCATTATTTTGTTTGCATCTACACTGACGATACTACCCTCACTAAATGGCTGACGACTACCCGCGTTAATAAAAACAGCATTAAATTTCCCACTGAACAATATCTTATTTCGATTTGATATGGCAACGCTTGTCGTTTTCCACAAAGGGATCCAACATTATTATTAATTTTCTATCTTTTACACCATAACCATAGCGGGAATTCTGCTCTGGGTATGTATTTACTCCAATCCCAAAAAATATTAATTGTTATAATGAGAATAATATTTTTTTTCAGCTCTGGTGCGCCGCCACCATTTTGAATATCGCCGCCTTTGAGTGACTCGTCCACGCAACAAAACATCGAACATTGCTGAGGATATTTCGCAAGGGGCGATGTGCGTGATGCTAAATTCATAACGTGGGGAACTCCCACACCCTGGAGTCTCCAAGCCGGGCATGGATTCCCTGGTATAAACATTCCAATACCCCTCAAAGTTCGATGAAAAACGGTAAATTTCATATTGCGTTAGTAGTGTAGTTTACACATACTACGCTGTCGGTATATACGACAGCGAACCCTATCCATATTAATAAACGCGAACATCTCTTCATGAATGGATGGAAAAGAAGAAGAATTGTTTTCATCCCTACGTTACTTTCGATTGATCGACCCCTATTTTACTTTATGCCAAAAATATTTATTGATTCATTGTTTTCTTGCAATATTTTCCTGCAGAGACTTTTGGTCATTTATTGGTTGGGCACGTAGAAACTTTTATTTATTGAAGTCATGAACATCCACCATGTCTGTCCACGGAAACACACAAAAGTTTTCCTTATTTTTTTTTTGCCATTAATGATTGGATTTGCTGCCGTATGGTTGTTTTACCAACAACAATTCATTATATTGGGCAAATGTGACAACAGGATAAATACTTCAATTAATTTGATTGGTATATCTATTTAATGTTTTTGTTTCTCTATTTAGGTAAATATTACCGGCTTCCGCAATCATTATACTTGGTGTCCAGGTTAAAGGCATGCTGGCCACGTTGCTTTACATCAATATATCCTGACAGCAACAAGTTTGACCGTGGCATCACGATATATTTTTGGTGGTACTTAGCTAGTACTCTGCTAGTTTGTTGTGGTTTGTTTCGTGTTGTACAATATGCATCTGTTTATTTCCTAATGCCCTTTTGATTTTCATTGTAGCTCACTATTAGTTATTATTACGGTGATACCGCCGTGGACACGATCTTTTTTTTTTGGAGGAGAACAGAAGATGTACCCCACACAGCCAGAGGCGGTTATTCGGGTAAGTTTTACCTTTGTATATGAAAAGGTTAATGAGACATGGTAAATAAACATTTTACCATTACAACAGGAGTTTGTTAACACTAAGAATTAGGAAAAATCGAAATACTGGCTAAAAAATGTATAGAAGATCAGAGATCTGTACTCTGGATTTTTATTCCCGTGGTTAAGGTCGATTCCTAATTACCTTGTCACATGAATATGTCTTTTTGAGGGAAAAGCTTCGTGGAAATAGTTACAACCTGCCTGGATTGATATCTGTGAGAAAGTGAGAAAATTACAAGATTTTTTTCGGAATTATACATTTCACACCTCGACACTGGATGACAACAACTCTGTGGGATTTCTATCTTTATTATTGGTAATAGTTGGGACTTTTACGTAGTTTGAATGTGACTTTTGCACCCGCCACTTTGGTCTAACTTCCCAGGCCGTGATGGCATAGTTCCGACCCCGTATGGGGTCCCCATATGGGAAGCCATTTATGTGGTTTTGGTCTAGCTACATGGCTCAAAATCTGTAGCCTAGTTAGAATTCACAACTACCTAACATTTTACAATTTTGCTATAGTAAGACAGCTCCTCAGCGGATGGCCTTAGCTTTTTAAATCCTTTACATGACAAGTCCCTCATGACTTGCATTGCATATCCTCAACTTCAAACATATTGTTTCCCACGGGTTTAACTGTCCTACATTTCAGATATTTCCTGCAAAATTTTGAATTGATGTTCTTTCCAAAATCACTTAAAATATGGTTCCGTCTAAAGACCTCCTGTCCAGGTAAAAATTGTACTACCCGCTGATTATAGTGTTTGGCACTGCTTCATATGCATGGTGCAGGTTTTTTGCTATTCTTTCCCTAATGAGCTCCAACCTTTTCTTCCGATTTAAGTCATTTATTGCGTGGTCACATAGTGACTTTAATTTCCTTGCCAGTTTAAAATCACTGCCGTTGGTGTATATTTCATATCCAAAAAGTGCGAAAAAGGGTGTTACACCAGTGGCTGTGTAGCCCATTATCTGTATGAATGGTCTCGGGAACTCCGAATTTTCTAAATATCTCTTGTACAAAAAATTGAACGAAATTAGATGTGGTAGCTTCTTCTATGGCTTTTAGAAACACAAATTTGGAAAAGTGGTCAAAAAATATAAATATATAACTATTGCCTGATTTTGATCGTGGATATTTCCCTAAAAAATCCATATAAAGTTTTTGAAATGGGCGGTTCAGCGTGTTAGCTATACCGCCATGAGCTGAGGTTACCTCACCATGTGCCTTTTCGATTAACAAATGGGTTAAATTTTTTGGGACCCAAAGTTTCCAAGGCATTTCAACAGAATTCAATTCAGTTTCTGGTTTTGTGCGTTTGAAAATGTAACCGTTTTCTATTTTTATATCAGGCAATTTATGTTGTTTTTGATAGAAACGGCGGTTCCTAAAAAGCTTCTCACATCCTTTCTTGGAATTTTTAGATTTCTAATCGCTCGTATTTTGTCAGGATCGGGTTTTAGGACCCCGCCTCCGATTATAAAACCTAAGTACCTAAACTCTTTAAAACAGATCATATTCTTGGTGAGGCCCATCGTCAGATTCGCACTCCTTGTTCAAATAATTTCAAATGAGTTTCGAAATTTTCTGATATAACCAAATATATGAATACGTTTGATTTAAGTCGGACCGATATGACCTTATGCATAAGTCGGCATAGACGTTGTGCGGCATTACACAAGCCGAATGGCATTATTCTGAATTGATAGAGCGGACTCTTCCTCGACTCTTCATCCAGCTATATCTGCTAAAAGGCATTTTTAAATCTTTAAATCTCCTCTACTTATGAATACCGTCTGATCAATTCTACTTAGTATCCCGTCGATATTTTGTAATGGATACGCGTCTTTAATGGTTACAGCGTTTAACTTACGCGCATCCAAACAAAATCGGTTCTTCCAGGGTTACCTAACGATGGTTGTCCTATTGTTCCACTCACGTTCACTCTCTTCTATTACTTTCAGCTCTATCATCTTATCAAATTCTTCATAAACAATTTGATGCATAGCTCGTGAAATGCGGTAATGTTTATCCTTAATTGGATTTGTACCCTCCACTGGCTAATAGTGTGTTTTTCAACACCAAGACCCATTTTTTTTTGAAACGCAGGAAATTTTTCCATCACTCGATTAAGTTTTTTCTGCATAAGGTCTTGGATCGGACGTTTCATTGTATTTTCGAACTGATTCGGTTACCATATTCTTCACAAGTTGGTTTTCTCTTTTTCGTTGCCTAAGTTTTTGAATTCTAGCTAATTTCTTATAATCGTTTTTGAATTTTTTGAACGTTTTTGTATTGTTGTCAGCAATCTCACTATTATGATCGATCTCAGAGTCGCCTTCCACTTCCCCAAATGTTATATTTTTGACAATTTCATAATTGGATTTTCGGATTTCAAGTGGAAGGTAGTGTCGAATAGAAATGTATTCATTGCTGTTTATGTTGGTGCTTGCTGGTTTATCGTTGCGGGCTTGTCTCCCGAACATGATCTCCCCGCCTACGATATGTTCCTCTGGCCGTTTCCTGACATGCACCTAGGGCAACTTGTTGCCACGGTATTGGGTTGGTCATATCGGTAGCAAAACAACGATCTTTGTGAGGATAAACTGTCCATAAACCTTTGACCTCTTTTTCTACAGTTCCAACAGATTGGATCGGTTTTTAGTTCTGACACATCCTGAACTTGTTCATCCTCATAGTAATTTATGTTATAATCATTATTATCAGTATTTAGTTCGTTTACCCTAACGTGCCGGTTCGGAGGAGGAGGCATGTATCTTGTTTAACGTTTTAATCATGTCCTTTCTGCTAAGATACACTCCATCCTGAGCTGTTCCATAGATCTGATGTTCATTGGGTAAATCATCTTAAAAATTTGTCCCTTTAAATTTCTTTTTACGATCTGAATCAGCTCTCCTTCCGATATCGGTTGAACCATGGTACAATGAATTCAAGGTAGGGCAGAACTACCATATGATTTAATTTTTTTTATTTTTCTGGCTTAATATGTCAACTTCATTTGCTTATGTGTGTGTCTTCTTTTCAATAAAAAATTGTTCAGAAAATATTCAAATTCGGGTGTTTTCAAAATGCTTATTGCAACGAATGCATCGACAAAATCTACAGTTTTTGTCGCGAAATAAACCATAAGGGATATATTGAACATGATATTGAAAAGAAATTTTGACCATTCATTCAGTTTTCGTGGTTTTAAATTATTTATTCAAAATCAATGCAACAAGTTGTTGCTTTTTTATTGTTTTGATAGCAATTCTGACATTACAAGCCAAACAGGTAGACCTCTATACTTGCAATTTTTTCAAAGTTGACCTACCTTCTCTTCATTGTACCATGGGTTGAACTAACCTGGATCTCAAAGTATTTATGGATTGGAAAAAGTTATCGATATCTTCCCCTGGTTTAAATTTTCTGTCGACTATCTCGCTCATGACTTCAAAATTCGATCGAGTCGTACTGTACCGTCGATATAGGGCATCTTTTAAAGAAGGCCAATCCATCACTATACCGGTATTGATTTGTAACCAGTACCACTCATAAGCGCTGCCAGCGAGTAAAGACTGGAACTCGCAAAGATTTCTTCCCATGACACCTTGTATTGTTTCTTTAGGTATTCGAGTCAAAACACGAAGTCTTCAACAGACATGCCAAACGGATTGCCATCAAATTTAAGCTTGAATTTCTCCACTTTACTTGGTCTATCCAAATTGGGACCGGGAGTTGCAAATTCGATTGCATCTCTGGTTGTCTGTTGGGTTCGATTATGGGAGGTGGATTTGGAAACGAAAAAGGGACGTTGTTAGGTTGATTGTTCGGATCGTTCGTACCAGTTACCCCGGCATCTACAATTTCCCTTAAAACATTGTTAATATCGTCATTAGCTGGCGTGGAACTATTAGAAGAACTAGTTGGGTTACCATTAGGGAGCATATTATAAGTATTAGAATTGGGGTTAGAGGTTGCGTTGATAGTCTGAGACATATCAATTACGGATTTGGATTTACCATATTGCCAATCTTATCCTTTTTCCTATATTTCGGCAATGTTTGCCCCGATATTCTGCTAACATCAACTGACGCAGTGCGGTTTCTTTTGATTCTACCAATAATTGAATGAAAACTTTGAATTCTTTTACATTCACCAATAATATTGTGTTAATAAAAATAATAAAAAGGAATAAAATTATACGTTGCAAAAAAAAATAAAAAATAATATATATCTATATAAGGTTATAAAAAAACTAGTCACAAAACAAAAACATTTTAAACAAAACAATTTCCAACACATAGGGGTTCTCCTAGATTTTTTTAAAGAATGTCCTTTCGGTTATCAAAACAGTTAAAGACGAACACTAATAAAGCACATGTATTTAATATTTCTTTCGACTTTGTCTTTACGGCAATTTCCCTTCTGTCCCGAAAAAAGATCTAGTAAATGGGAACACAGCCAGAATCTGCTTTTATTCAAACGCATATTGTCCATTTACCTTCGTCGAAAATGTTACCTATTGCAGCTACTTAATGGAACCAAAACACAAAAGACAGGCCATTCACAATACGTACATTGTTACACATAAGACGAATAAGTTATTGCATTGACCGTTTTTAATATTATGGAAGTATTATACTAAATATCCTATTTTACCTTAAAACTAATGTTGCACATTAATCTGTTTTCAACAACAAAAAGAACATGGCTCAATATCGGTCAGGTCTAAGAATATTGCTACAATAC